TACATCAAATATATAAAAAAAAAATTAAAGAATTTTAAAGTGGTGCATATGTCTGTCTGATAAAAAAAATAAAACACTTTAGGAAGACTTCCTTCACAGAATTCTGTGCAGAATATATACACTTTTCAACCATTTTTAATCCCTTGGGATTCTAAGAACTAGATCATCCAAAGATGCAGTCAGCAGAATACTGGAATTCCCTAGGAAGCGATGATTTCTAGTAGCTATCATGGTTAACATTATCCTTAGTTGTAAATACTCCTTTTATTTTAGTCGTAACAATTGAAGAATTTTAAGCACATTGCATATTAAAATATATTTTATTTCAGCATCTCAGAAGTATTTAAATGTTTAGTTTTTTTGTATGTTGTCAACACTTCCACATTATGAATTAGTTGCTGCATGCTTCTCTGAGCTTTTCATTTGAATGATGCTTCAGATGGCTGGACCTTTTCCGCCCCCTTCTTCAGTTCTCTTAAAATACAGTGCTGATTATGGTCCCCCAAGAGTATGCAAAATCTGTTCCAGTAATAGCAAGGAACACCACCTGGCCTTCCGCTGTGCAAGATCAGGTGCAGTGAATGGTTAATGGAACACACACATTTCTTAGCCAGAACTTTTTTTAAAAGTTCAATTACTGAAGCTTGAACTGGAAATTGAGGTAAACTATATTCATTTTTAATTAATTCCTCCCCCCCCCCATTAAAAGACATGTGGCTTGTTTCCTTAAATATCTGTAAAATTGTGAAAATATATTTGAAGTAAAATTAGTTGTGGACATTCAGACATTCAGCAGATTTTTTGCTTTCTGTGTGAAAAAATGATGATACCTGTCTCAAAAACACAATGATAAGTTCTCTCTCTCTCTCTCTCTTTAAAAAAAATAAACCCAAACTAGAAACCTTGACTTGTTAATAGCAGCTGTCTTTTGAGAGCATGCTACGAAAGTATTTGTTTAATGGTTGCTAGTGTCTACTTTTTTTTTTTGAGGCAGTCAAAATATAATTGACAGCTGTCAAGTTTATTTTGTCATTTAACTTTTTCTTTGATCCTTCAAACAAGAGATTTGATTTTAAGCAAATTGTCCATGTGTTTTTCATAGAAATACAATAATGCATTTGTGCTACATTTTTAATCTTGTACTCACAATGACAAAGGCATCACTGAAATTGTGCTAATTATTGAATTGCTTTTCAATAATTTTAATTCACTTTTTGTTTGTGACTTAGAAATTTGAATTGAAAGATATTTATCTAAAATTTAATGCTGTTTCCCCCTTTTTAAGAACAAACACATTTGCCTATGTGACTGACTGCTAGTGTTAATTGACAGACTCTAGAATCACCTGGAAAATGGGCCTCTGGACATGCCTTTGGGAAGTATCTTGACTTTTTAATTGATGTGGGAAGCCTGCCCACTGTGGGCAACTCCATTTCCTGGCCGTTAAGTAAATTGTCAATGTGTTTTTCATAGAAATACAATAATGCATCTGTGCTACATTTTTAATCTTGTACTCACAATGACAAAGGCATCACTGAAATTGTGCTAATTATTGAATTGCTTATTAAAGAATCCAGCGGTGGGTCCTGGATTTTATAAATGGAAAAAGGGAGTTGAGCAGCATGAATGCATTCATTGCTCTCTGCTCTCAGTTGTGAATGCCATGTGGCCAGCTTCTTTAAGCGCCTGTCATCTTCCCCACTCTAATAGGCTTTACCATCAAGTTTTCAGCCAGTATAGACCCTTTCTCTTAAGTTGGTTTTGTCAGAGCATTTTATAACAAGAACAGGAAAAGAAACTAAGACAGTGTGATGTTTGAATGAGATTGTTCCCCATAGGCTCAGATGTTTGAATTCTTGGTCCCCAGTTGTTTGCTAGATTTAGAAAGTGTGGCCTTGCTAGAGGAAGCATGTCACTGGAGATGGGCCTTGAGAGTTGAAAGCCTCATCCCATTTCGAGTTTGCTCTCACTGCTTCTTGCTTACAGTTTGGGATGTGAGCTCTCATCTGTTCCTGCTGCCTGCAGTCAATTCTTTGCCATGATGGATGGAATCTTATCCCTCTGGAACCAACCATAAGCCTACATAAACCCTTCCTTCTATACGTTGCCTTGGTCATGGTGTTTTATCACAGCAATAGGAAAGTAAGACCAGCCAACTCCAGTTTGTTTTTTATTACTAATCCTTGATGTTTGATTTTTTTTAAATTTCATTACAAACAGAAGATTATTATGAGATAATAGGATCTCCCAATGTAGCTCAAGTTGGCCTTAAACTCAAGTTCCCTCACTCTCAACCTCCCAAGTGCAGTAGTACAGATGTCCAATTTAAGATTTACAGTGCATTACTGGAAGTGGAGAATCGGTTTAGTGCTTATCCTTCTGGAACCATAAGCCTACATAAACCCTTCCTTCTATAAGTTGCCTTGGTCATGGTGTTTTATCACAGCAATAGGAAAGTAAGACCAGCCAACTCCAGTTTGTTTTTTATTACTAATCCTTGATGTTTGATTTTTTTAAATTTCATTACAAACAGAAGATTATTATGAGATAATAGGATCTCCCAATGTAGAAGACATGTGGAACCTTGCCAGTAGGCCACGAGCCTTATGGTTACTGCTGTGGTTAGCATTTTCATTTTAGACTTTCAATCTGACCCAGTTTTATTCTTTTTTTTATTTTTATTTTACAGTTTTTTAAATTGATATTTATTGAGCTCTACATTTTTCTCTGTTCCCCTCCCTGTCTCTCCCCTCTCCCCTTCAATCCTCCCCCAAGGTCCCCATGCTCCCAATTTACTCAGGAGATCTTGTCTTTTTTTACTTTCTACTTCCCATGTAGATTAGATCTATGTAAGTGTCTCTTAGTGTCCACATTGTTGTCTAAGTTTTCTGGGATTGTGGTTTGTAGGCTGACTTTCTTTGCTTTATGATTAAAAACCACCTATGAGTGAGTACACGTGATAATTGTCTTTCATTCAAAATAATGTTTTCTAGCTCCATCCATTTTCCTGCAAAATTCAAGCTGTCGTTATTTTTTTCTGCTGAGTAGTACTCCATTGTGTAAATGTACCGCATTTTTCTTATCCATTCTTTGGTTGAGGGGCATTTAGGTTGTTTTTAGGTTCTGGCTATGACAAACAAAGCTGCTTTGAACATAGTTGAGCACATGTCCTTGTGTCACAATTGAGCATCCTTTGGATATATACCCAAAAGTGGTACTACTGGGTCTTGAGGAAGTTTGTTTCCCAATTTTCTGAGCCTTATGGTAAAATATAAAATAATGGAAATGGGTTAAATTAAGATGTAAAAGCTAGCCAATAAGAAGTTAGAACTAATAGGCCAAGCTGTGATTTAATTAATACAGTTTCTGTGTGGTTATTTTGGGAGTCTGGGCAGCTGGGAAATGAACAAGCAGCTTCCTACTACACCCTGTCAAGTGAGGAAGCCTGCAGAGGTCAAGAGAGGGCACTGGATCCTGTGGAAAGAGTTATAGGTACTGTGAGGTGCCCAATAAGGACACTCAGAACAAAACTTGGATCCTCTCAAAGAGCAGCAGCGTGTCTGTCTCTGGAAGTGGCTCCATGGCTTCTCTCTGATTCCTCCTCCTTTCTCCCAGCATTCAGTTTATTTTTCCCTGCCTACCTCTGGCCCAAGACAGGTTTTTTGTTTGTTTGTTTTATTAACCAATCTACTGGGGCAGGCTGGCGAAGCTGGACCTGAAGGTGGGAAACAGTGGAGTGACTGACAGCTTTGATTGACCAGCTGTCTTGCATCAGAGTTCTTCTTTCATTGGTCACATTTGGGGGCTGTTCTGCTACCTGAAAGGACTTTCTAATGTAGTGGATCTCAGTCTGTGGCTTGCAACCTATTAGGAGCGTTGAATGAACTTTTCACAGGGATCACCTAAGACTATCAGAAACCACAGATTTTTATATCATGATTCATAACATTAGCAGTATTACAGCTATGAAGTAGCAAAGAAAATAATTTTATGTTTGGGGGAAACACCAAAACATGAAGAACTGTGCTTAAGGGCTACAGCATTAGGAAGGTTGAGAACCGTTGCTCCAATGGGTTGGCTGAGAAAAGGTATTTGTATAAGTCATACAGGAAGGTAGGGAGGCCTTGTAGCCACTGTGTGTTGGTATTTGGTATGAATCTAGAGAATCCAATAGTTTAGGAATGGAGAATTTAATGAATGGGAAGATTGCAGGTAGGTATTCATCCTGGCATTTCCTGTCATCCTTTCAGAGACAGGGCTTCTTCCATAAGTAGTAGTGTGGGTAGCGTTGACCCTTCCTCTTTGGTTCCCTTTTCTGTTGCTTTAAATGGAAGGTTCTGTTTAGATTTCCATTTCCTGTTCTTAGAAGGGGTGGAGAATAGAAGCAGTGAAATAAATTGTGAACCTAAGATTAATAAAGGTAAGTAGATTTCTGTCATTAGCTGCATGTATTACAGTGTACAGATGGAATTCTTGATTTCTAAGTGGGAATCGAGAGTTTTAGTATCTGGGACTGCTAGCTAGCAATATAACAGCACAAACTAAGAGACAGGCCTCAGGAAAATAGCGATTGTTCCTTGCATTCCAGAGTTAATACAGAGAGTCGAATTTGGTAATGTGTCTGGGGTTTGAGGTGGGATGTTTGGTTTGAATGTACTTGGTTTTTTTTTCCCCAAGAAGGAAGGAATGCTCTTACTATTCTGCCGTCTATGCTTCTGGAAAATTAGTAAGTACTTGGTAATGTCACTCAGTGGTAGGGATAAAGTGAGATGTGGTCCTGCGTAGTGTAAACTTGATCCTGTATCCTTTATAGAAACTTATGCATATTACTTTTTGAAAGTTTCTCTATTATTAATTGGATAAACTTTGTTTAGAATAGTAAGGATGTTAAATGGGCTGGTATTTAAGCAAACCACATGAAGAGGCTAAATAAAAGTTGTTTAGAATTGTAAATTATGTATCAGATACTAATATTTTACATTTTAACTTTTTTCTCTAAGCAAATGGTTATGAGCCTTAGAGTTTCTGAACTCCAAGTACTGTTGGGCTACGCTGGGAGGAACAAGCACGGACGCAAACACGAACTTCTTACAAAAGCCCTGCATTTGTTAAAGGCTGGCTGTAGTCCTGCTGTACAAATGAAAATTAAAGAACTCTACAGGCGGCGGTTCCCTCAGAAAATTATGACGCCTGCGGACTTGTCTATCCCCAACGTACATTCAAGTCCTATGCCAGCGACTCTGTCACCATCTACCATTCCACAACTCACCTATGATGGTCACCCTGCATCATCCCCACTACTCCCTGTTTCTCTTCTGGGACCTAAACATGAACTGGAACTCCCACATCTCACATCAGCACTGCACCCAGTCCATCCGGATATAAAGCTGCAAAAGCTACCATTCTATGACCTGCTGGACGAGCTGATCAAACCCACCAGTTTAGGTAAGATACGAGGCCATTTGGTTACTGCTGTGGTTAGCATTTTCATTTTAGACTTTCAATCTGACCCAGTTTTATTCTTTTTTTATTTTTATTTTACAGTTTTTTAAATTGATATTTATTGAGCTCTACATTTTTCTCTGTTCCCCTCCCTGCCTCTCCCCTCTCCCCTTTAATCCTCCCCCAAGGTCCCCATGCTCCCAATTTACTCAGGAGATCTTGTCTTTTTTTACTTTCTACTTCCCATGTAGATTAGATCTATGTAAGTGTCTCTTAGTGTCCACATTGTTGTCTAAGTTTTCTGGGATTGTGGTTTGTAGGCTGACTTTCTTTGCTTTATGATTAAAAACCACCTATGAGTGAGTACACGTGATAATTAATTGTCTTTCACTCAAAATAATGTTTTCTAGCTCCATCCATTTTCCTGCAAAATTTCAAGCTGTCGTTATTTTTTTCTGCTGATTAGTACTCAATTGTGTAAATGTACCGCATTTTTCTTATCCATTCTTTGGTTGAGGGGCATTTAGGTTGTTTTTAGGTTCTGGCTATGACAAACAAAGCTGCTATGAACATAGTTGAGCACATGTCCTTGTGTCACAATTGAGCATCCTTTGGATATATACCCAAAAGTGGTACTACTGGGTCTTGAGGAAGTTTGTTTCTCAATTTTCTGAGAAATCGCCACGTTGACATCCAAAAGGGTCGGTACCAATTTGCATTCCCACCAACAATGCAGAAGTGTTCCCTTTTCCCCACAACCTCTCCAGCATAAGTTGTCATCAGTGTTTTTGATCTTGGCCATTCTTACAGATGTAAGATGGAATCTCAGAGTTGTTTTGATTTGCATTTCTCTGATGATTTTGATGATTTTGAACATTTCCTTAATTGTCTTTCAGCCATTCTAGATTCCTCTGTTGAGAGTTCTTTGTTTAGGTCTGTACTCCATTTTTTTTTATTGGATTATGTGTTCTTTTGGTGTCCAATTTCTTGAGTTCTTTGTATGTTTTAGACAAAGGTGACCAATAGTTTTGGACACAATAAATACTAAGTTTGAAACACGGTTTCACCTTATAAGCTCTGCCTGTCCTGTACCTTGCTGTTCTTGAACTCACAAAGATCCTCCTGCCTCTGTCTCTAGAACCATTGGATTATAGGTATGTTCTACTGGGGCTGGCTTCTAATTAAAATTGAAAGCAAATCACCACCAGTCTCTTGATTCTGTTCTTAATTTTCAGCAGTCAGTGACATCTAAAACAGACTCACCAGTTTTGATTACTTGAATGTATAAATGGTTTTAATTATCATGAAAGGAAATTTGAGCTTTGATGTTGTAGTCAACTTTCAGCTGCTGTTTTCCAAGTGGAGACATGTGCATTAGTCATACACATGTGGTATACTAGTTCCTATTCATGTGTAATATGGGTTGTAGAAGTTTCTGTTAGTAGGTTTCTCATCTTGAGATTTCCTTGTCAAAGTATAGAGTTCAACATATTTATTATATGTCATCTACTTTATTAATGTGAACCACAGTTGACTTTGGTGTGATTTTTTTTTTTGGGGGGGGGTGCCTTTAGTAGAAAATACTCTAATAGCCAACTTTTTCTGGATGCTGACTTCTTAGAAGTCAGTGCTTAGCAAATTGTGACTGGCAGCTAATTCTAGTGGTTTGGTTTTGTGTGACATTTATGTAAGAATTTTGTTGTCTGAGGCAGGCTCTCACTCTGGGACTCTGATGCCCTAGTACTGCTCACAGCAGTCTGCTGCGTCTGCCTGCTAGGTGCTAAGATTACTCATGGGAGCCACTATCCCCAGCTCAAATTTTTCAATATATTCCTAAAATGTAAACAAAGCTAATGAATATATAAATAACAGATCATGTGTGCCCCAGAGCCTAACGTATTTCCTGTCTGACTTTTATAGAAATGTTTGTTGACTCCTGTCATTAAAATTAAACATCTCAGTTTGAGGAATTGTTGAATATTGAGGGCAAGTTTTAGAGAAGGTGGGGTGTTTTGGGGTTTGAGGTATGATGTTGTCTAGGCTGGCCTAGTATTCTTCAAGAAGCAGAGTATGACACTGAATTCTTGATCTTCCTCTTTACCTTCTAAGCTGGAATTACAGGTGTGTACCACCAGTCTTTTGGAGAGGATTGTTTTAAATTAGATTTTAAATTTTTTTCTTTGAGAACTTTATGTATACAATGTATTTTGATCATATCCACCTTCTCTCCTTCAACTCTCCTTGGATCCTCTTCAATATATTACCTTCCTTTTTGTTGGTGTGGGGCCATGATTTTTGAGAGCATTGCTGAAATTCTGTCATTGAATAAGGAAGTTCTTGGTTTTAATTGCATTTAGTAGAATTTCTAAGAATAAATGAAGATACAGAAGATATTTTCAAACAACATGAATTTTATTATATGAATTTATTGAATTTATTTTTACATTTGTGTGTGTATGTGTGTGTATAGACGTGTGTACTCCCTTCAAACACATGTTACAGCATGCATAGGAAGTCAGAGAGTTTATTTTACTATGCAAATCCTCAGAATCAAATTTAGATGGTCAGGCTTGAAGGCAAGTGCCCTTACCTGCTGAGCCATCTTACTTAGTCTGACAAACATGAAGTTTATAACACCATTTTATTCTTTAAATTTTTTTGAGATTTATTTATTTTATTTTTATGAGTACTTTGCCTACACATGGGTGCCTAGTATCAGTGGGGCTCAGAAGAGACTTTTCGATTCCCTAGAACTAGAGTTATTGGTTGTGAGCCACCCTCTGGATGCTGGGAATTGAACCCAGGTGTAAACGGAGGTGGTGCTTTTGTTTCCCAGCTGCCCAGTCCTTAATATAAATTTCAAAATGTTTGGCCTATTTCTCAAACTTATTGTTAACTAGCTCCTAATTTTAAATTAATAAATTTCTATTAATTTATATATTGCCATGTGACTCGTAGCCTTTCTTGTGGTCTTGCTACTCTGGCTGTTTCCACTGACTGGCATCTCCCGACTCTGCCCTTCTTCCTCTGAGTTGTCACTTAGATTGTTCGCTTAATCTTATCCTGCCTGGATATTGGTCAAACAACTTTTATTATTAACCAATGAGAGGAATACATAGTCACAGCATACAGAAAAATCATACCATAGCATTTCTCCCTTTCTGTCTAATCAAAAGAGAAGGTTTTAACTTTAACATAGTAAAATTACATACAGCAAAACAGTTATCAAGTAAGAATTGCAGTTACAATATTTAGTCTATTTGTATTTGACAAAATTAGAGAAAATATTTATCCTATCTTGGCGAGCTTAAAGTTTTATATCTAATTTACTTTTTATCATAACTAAGAAAAACTATAATTATCTAGTTTTGAACTCCATCAAAGACCTGAGAAGAAAATAATAATACCTGAATAAGCAGGAAGTACAGGCAAGCAACTTCCTAAAATGTAGGAAATGATAGAAACAATTGGCTTCCTGGACAATCATCCACATTTCCTCTGTAATGTTGGGACATCCATCCTTGGCCTACAGGCATAGCGTATCTGACAGACTTTCCTGTGAAGCAGGGAAATTGGAAGGACTGGCCTACCATGTCTTGGCAAAGCTTAGCAGACGCCTTTCTTGTATTCTGCTGGTTCAGTTTAGATAGTAACTGTAAGCAACTGAAGCAAGGACAGTTTCTTTGCCCACTAGCTTTTGCCATAAAATAAACTTCATACAGAGTTTTTTGATGGCCACCATTTTCTCTTGAGTACATTGATGCTGCCAGGAGCAGACTTGTCTCACTGTCACGAAAAGTTTAAGTTATTAAAACATTTTAAATGTCATATTCTGTAGGTCTTTGAAATGTTTGAAGAATACTTATCTATCTGAAATATATCTTTATCTAGAAAACCTAACTAGCATGACAATAAGTTTGACTACTATATCACCCAAGTCCTTTACAAGAGCAGTAAGTGCTCTTAACTGCTGAGCCATCTCTCCAGCCCCATTTTATTTTTAAAATGGACAAACAAGAGGAGAAAGAAAAGATAAGATTTGTTGAGAATCTACCTAATGCATGTAATAAACCTTGTGTATGTTCATTGTAAAAAAGAGAAAGAAATTGTTAGCAATTTGTATGTATACACATGGTGTTTGTTGTTTTTCACAGATCAATTTTATATTTAGGATTGTGTGGTGTGCCTTTTATTTTATTTCTTTCTTAATAAGATAAGCATCTTTTCATGCCTGACTCATGTAGATGTCTACCATTTTAAATTAATTTCTCATCTGCATTTATATAAACATAAAGTTTATGTGTTCTGTAGACACATATATCTGAAGAACAATCATATCATCTGAAATTTGATAGAAGAATGTTGGTTACTTGGTTTTGAGTCCAGCTTTTAAACTCTTTTTTTTTTTCTGGTCTTAATAGTTAACTTCCCATGCTTTTACTACATAAATCTCAAGTGTTGGTGTGATTAGATGATACTTAGTATGTGTACCAATTCTGTTATGGAAAGTAGAAATGCAGCCTGGATGAGCATATTAGAAAATGTTTAGAAAGTTAAACTCATTTTTGCTGTGGTATTTTGTCGAATGTAGTTAATAGTTTTTTCATTTTGATGTTCAAATTCATTGTTTCCATCTGATATTTGAATTTATTGTTTCAGTTGCATACCTCTATGGGTATTGTAGTTTGATTTAATTTATCATCTTTTACTCTTACATCTTAGTGTTTTAATCCCAGCACTCCAGAGGCAGAGGCAGGTGGATCTCTGTGAGTTCAAGGTCAGCCTATTCTACAGAGCAGGTTCCAGGACAGCCAGCGCCTGTCTCAGAAAATAAAGAGACTCTGTCTCAAAAAATAAAAATAATTTTAAAAATATTTATTTTTCCTATTAAGTATGTGTGTGTATGTGAGTTCAGGTGCCCAAAGAGGCCTGAGTTGTTAGATCCCCCCTTGGAGCTGGACTTAAAGGTGATTGTGAGCCACTTGACAGGTTGCTTGGTATTG